TGAGTGCTTAAAGACATAGTCTGAAATATCTGACGATTTCCAGGTTTTTTATTTTTTGTTTATTTTTTTTATTATTTTTTTTTTTTTACAATTTTGATATTTTATAGGCTAGGATTTTCCTGGCACGTAAAAAACCCCAAAATTGTTAAAAAGCTTGGAACACGTCAGATAGAACCATTTCCAGCTTAGTTTGGCCTTTCAGCAAGGCGTGGCATTCTCGGCGCTACATGTTTACCGCCTGTGAAATGGCAATAGATTCTCATTGGTTAAGAAATGAATAACATCAAGAACTTTAAATTATTGTTGACAACGATTAGACGACAATTTACCCCACCTCTTTGCAGGACGAAACAATGTACATGTAATTGTTATTCGATACACTACTAGTATTTGGCATTTGCCTGAATTTCTATCCCATGTATATTTCAACAGTGAAGGAAAGCTGATTTCAAAATTTCAAAAGCTAACTATGTAATGTCGAGAATGCCACGCCTTACTGAAAGTCCAAACTAAGCTGGAAATGCTCCTATTTCGGTCTAGTAAGGACGGAGACATCTACATGTACTTGACCATATGCTATCTATTTATTCCTAACCAATGTTGTAGATAGTGATTCACATTTCTATGGATTTTCTTACTTCAAATTCATTTTATTTTATACTCATAATGTCGAGGGGAATCTGTACATGTACTATTTTCAGTCCTTTGTATTTTAGATGATAAATGGTCCGTGTACCCCGTCAGACACGGATACCCAGGATCCATCCTTAGTGGACTCCGGATACAACGAGGGACTTCATCTCCAATGTCTGGAAAGCGTGCTAGACTGGAGGATGGACAAAGTCTATTTGACCCCAGATGACCTTGAGAGTTTCCAGTTTCGACCCTGTACTATTCAGACTGCAGATCACTCTGGATTTGAGGAACATCTGGACGAAATCTATCAACACCGCCTGAGTATAGAATACAAGTATCAAGTGACGTCATGTCTGGATAACCAACCAGAGGTAAGATGTCTTGGGAAACTAGCCAGTGATAAAAACACATTGTGCACTTAATTAAGATCTAAAATTTCGATCTGCATCTACAAATCATGAATTTAAAATATTACTTTTAAATTCATTTTTTTGTGTTTCAGTGAAATTCCCGCCAATTTAGCAAATTTTTTAACTTTATTAATAGTTTTTTGCACGATAGGTAACTCCAGGAATGCGCGGACTCCTGATCAGCTGGTTAACGGGGATTCACCACCAATTAAACCTTTGTCAGGACACCCTCTTTGTGGCGGTCAATATCGTTGATCGAGTCCTAGATCTCATGCAAGCCTCGCGAGACTATCTTCAGCTTCTCGGAATAACCTCGTTGTTGATAGCATGTAAATCTGTAAGTAAATTGCCAAAAACTAGGATGTATATGTATATGTCTTTAAAAAGGTCTGTGATGTGACTATATTTTAATTAAAGGCTAAGATATTTACCATTTATGAATGATCAACAGGAAGAAATACATCCTCCTGAAATTAAAGACCTCTTGAGTGGATGTGATGACGTGTACTCACGTGACCAGGTAAAGCAGCTGGAACGGGTCATTCTGAATGCACTCCGATTTGATTTGCTGGTTCCCACCTCTCAATACTTCCTGGAATATTTCTCATCATGTGTCATCAGCAACTTCACTGGTTTCCAAGGGGATCGTCTGAGGTATGTACCAATAAATACCAGGTAATATTATAAAAATATTGTATGTAGAGTGTAACATTGAAATTTTTTATCCCAAGAAAACCATTGTCAACCAATGCGCAGCCGAGGTTCACAATGGTTTTCAAGGGGTTAGAGTTTCAATTTTACACTCAAGTACATGCAATATTTACTATAATATTGTTTTATACAAATAGAAATAACAGTGAACCTTAATTAAGCTTGCGCGTATATAGATATATTCTGCGCAGTCAACATTTTTGGAATATCACTGTCGTCAAGCAATGTAATGGCTTCATTATTCAGCGGGTACATGTGATAGTGTTTTTAACAAGTATTTCTTGACGAATCAGATTCAATCAATTTACACGAAAGTATAATATAATTTTCTACACTGGATAAGTGGCCATTATTAACCAGAGTTTGGACAAGGTCAAGGTCACTTGGTTTGAAGATAAATCTTTGTGTTTTGTATAATCGTCTTCTAAAACAACTCTAGATTATCCTACTTTGTCAGATTTAATCATGACAATTGGATGTTTCATAATAATAAACAAAGATCATTTTGAAAATTTCAAGGTGACAGTATTCAATAATCTGCATTGAAAAAAGTGTACGTACCATTTTAATAGATTTCAATCAAATTCAATGAAATGATGTATAGACTTGAAGTCAAATGAACTCAAATATTGTTTGTGGCCAATACATGTAGTTTTGTCAAAATTCTTGGTCATGGTTGCTGTGACAATTCACTTATTAGTTATTACATACTAGTGGTACACTTATAGGTGAGTTAGCGCTGTGTTTAAATCTGCAAAAAAGACCAAATTATATATTTATCTCTCAGCCAAAAGCATAAGTGAGAATGTTTGTCATGCGGGTCCGTCTTTCAATTTGTCTGTGAACTTGCAACTTCTCTTCAAGGTAATCTCCGGGCCAATTTCAACCAACCTTACTATAAAAGCATCTTCGAGTAATTGAAATCAAGTTTGTTCAAATGAAGGGCTAGAAATAATGAATTATTGGAAAAAGTAACGACATATTTGAAACTTCTTCTCAAGAACCACTGGACCAGAGAAGGTGTGCCTTATTTTGTTTAACTTAGTTCGTATGTTGTTACAAAACACTTTTAAATAGACCTCCTAATGTTTCTTCGCTAAAATGGGTGCGTATCATTACCGCTACATTTTTGAAATTTTCATTACCGCTACATAGTCATTACCGCTACAAAAAAACTTACATTGCCTGTTTTGTCAGCCAGCTACTCTTGCGTGGACAGATTGATTTAAAATACAACATATACAAGGATAAGTCTGTTTCCTCTGCTCACCTTGGAAGTGAAAGTAGGACTTTGAGCAAGGTGTTTTTTTTTTAATTTTTTTTTTTATTTAAAATCTATTTTATTTTATAAAACACTTCAAAAATTTTAAAATCAAGCACTGGTCATAGAACTCAGTCTTTACAATGTCTTTACACAATCGCTAAAGCTTTGAATGTCATTTGCTTGACATACTGCTGTCTTGTAAAGTAATTCGTGATTGGAACTCGTATTCCGTACCATACCTGGCTGATTCTATATGTAAAGATAATGAGTTGTTTTGGGCCAAAAAAATATAGCGGTAATGATCGGTTGAAATTTTGAAAAAAATGTAGCGGTAATGAGTTGAAATTTTGGCGATGTAGCGGTAATGTTGACCTCCCGCTAAAATGACTATATTATGCACATGCATGCATATCTGAAATGTTAAACTATGAAAACGCTTATAAATATCACATCATGGGGTTTATAGATGAGGTAAAATGAAAAAAAAATAATTCCAGGCAGGCACGAGCAATGGCGAGATGTCTGTTGGAGCTCTCGTTGCAGGACTACGAGCTTAGTCAGCTTCGTCCCTCCATGTTGGCTCTGTGCATATGGAAGTCTGCAGTAGAACAAGTCAATACGGACGACGGTAACTTCCTTCCCGCAGGACTCTTCTTTACTCGGGAGGATTTCCAGCATGTATATCAGGAAGTTAGACTATTTACTGAAAATCTCCAGCAAAGTTTTCCGGAAATTATCAGTATCTGTGATCACTACTCTAATATGTATGGACAGGAATAATTGAACTATAAGTCTTGGTTGTGGCAAGATTGGGGTAAACATGAGGACCATTGTAATTAGACTTGTACAGTTATTTTTCTGTTGTACGAAATAGTTTTTGATTTATATGTTAACTGGTAAAACATCAGACATTGTTTTTATTTTTGTTTTCCTAATGGAAGCAAAAAAAAAAAAAAAAAAAACAACAACAACAAAAATTAAACATGAAACTCGTGTCTTAACTTTTGTCACTTAACATTTTTGGATGTTTCTCCCCGATCTTTGTGAATTCTCTGTACAAGTCAGTGAAAAATTCCTTTCCTTTATTGTGTTAATGACATTCATTATGCATAAAAAGTGCTTTACATGTAATACAAATTTCTATTTTTATATGTTTTGTATAGTTATATAATAGGTTGAAGTTTCTGTATTTTGTTTCATGAAAATTATTTCAAATAGATACCAATATTAATCATAATACCGTTTACTTTCTGGCAGTGCGTTGTGTGCTCTACCTCTCAGTGTAGAGTATCCATTAGATCATTGTATATATTTTTTAAGCAAACAGATTATTTGTAAATCAGTAACGATAATTAACCATATCTTGATGTACAAGAAGCAAATAAGAATACTATGTGGCGTGAGAATGTATGAGAGTTGAGATATACTTAACTTGCCTGTAATGTTATAAAGATTTTGCTATTATTGCAAATTTTCTGTTATTTGCCATAAATAAAAATGAGTTAAGATAAAAACAAAATACTTTCCTTCTTATTTTTAAAATAATAGATGTCGGTTGACAAGGACATGTGCTTTACTTGATTAAATAAATGTTGATGAAGTAGTATACATGTATGGCGTATTTTAGTCAAATATCTTAAATTCTTTACACTATCTAGCGTTTAAAATTTCGCTCTTATTTCTGAAATTTTTATGTTGTGAGAATTGAGATATTCGAAACAGCAGCACTACTTGTATTTTAAATTTACTGAAGTCTTGAATCAAGATGTTTGTTCCAAAGCAGTAGAAATTGTATAGATGGTATTCGAAAGATACGAGTTTAGCCAGATTTATATACGTATTTCCCATTGGTCGCCATTTTGGAGGCAAACAAATCCATATTACACAGAATTTCTAAAAATACTAGTATATCTTATCCTTATTTTTTTAATCGTAATTTTAGTTTCAAAGACTTTTTGCCAATATATTTCTGACTTACATATTTAAAATTGGTTGCTCAATCATAAAAATTTACTAGTTAAACCTTCAAGATGGCGGCTAAGGGAAATAACTCGAAGTTAAAACGAATCGCACGAAAACTATCCATATCATTTTAAGGGTAAATTAGTCATAATAGGTTATTATTAATAAATAGATTTCTTAAATCTACAACAAAAAGATTTACAATTTTTTTCCTTTCTTTAGTTATTCGTTATTTAGGAAAGATCTTGACAACTCCTTTTCGTTTCGAGTCGTAATATAACAAAAAACAGACACAATATCCGGAACAACAATTAAAATAGCAATGAAACATATTACTGCTATCCCTAAAGACCCTACGTACACCGCATCCGGGCGTCTGTCATAGACAGATATCTTCTTCCTTATAAAGCTGGATGTTGTATTTTTAGGAACCTCCAGATTCTCTATAATGTCTGATATTCTCACTTCCAGTTCCGGTTTAGTTAATGTTGAATTGTCTTCCTCTGTGCAGGTACATAGACAAAGAGAACCTGACGAAACTTCATGTATGTTGCTCTGTTCTGTCGATACTACTAGTATGTTGCTCTGCTCTGATGATACATGTGTGTTGCTCTGTTCTGTCGATACTACACGTGTGTTGCTCTGTTCTTTCGATACAACACGTGTGTTGCTCTGTTCTGACGATACTACACGTGTGTTGCCCTGTTCTGTCGATACTACATGTGTGGTTTGATCCTTAGCGGTGGTTGTGGTGGTAGTATCGGTATCAAGCTCTTTTGTTATGAGTCCTTCTGTTACGGGTACTGTACAAAGAACAATTTAACATGATATTAAAACAATCAGTGTCAACATGGATCAAAACTATATTGTGGATTGTAAATTAGTACTTGTCGCAGAAGTACTTGATTTCGCATGGAAGACGATCTGTGCATTTCTTTGCGAGGAGTGGTTTTATTTCTTGTATGTAGGGAAAAAAACTTTACTTTAAGATTCCTTTCAAGCGACTCGGAACGCCGATACGGCTGAAAATTTTATCTTGATATTTGTAAAATGAATGAAGCGGCATCATGTTTTTAAGGGTAGTACTATTCTCTATTGAGAGGTCGATGGCTCGATTCAATACTACAGTATTGAAACGAGCCATCGAGTTCTCAATAGAGAATAGGGTAGTACGTTTTTAAAATAAAAATTGTACTATGCTAATATCAAAACTTAAACAACAAATATATCATTAAATATTTACAAAACCATGTGTCTAGTTTGAATTTGAGTTGAAATCGATTTTAAAAATTTTAATTCTAATATTGCAAAGGTAGATTCGATATTCGATATGAAAAAATCGTTATTGGTCATTTTTTGTTGAATGACTGATGCATTCATGCTCTGATCAGAACAGAACAACTCATTTTACATTGTTTAAAAAGCAATTTAATTTTAGTTAGTAGCTATATACCTACCCAGCAAGTTTCAAATCAATAATTTTTAAATGATAATCTCGCTTGGAACTTTTATTCACAATCGGCAAAAACATGTAGTGTCTGATAGAGTAACGAATGACAACTCTGCATGGAGATTAATTTAATGCAGCACGAACCCGATCGTAAAAAAAAGTATTTGAAATTTTAAAGTCATAATTCCTTCAAACATCAATGAAGCGGAGCGAAATCTGTAACTCATTAAGATGCACTCGCATATCAAAAATCAGTTCAATATCTGCAAGCGTTTAGGGAAAAAAAGTGCGGAAAACCAAGTGGGACAGACTGGCAGGCAGCTAGAGGGAGGAACAGACAGCTAGACAGACAGACAGACTCAGAGGAAACCGGTTTCACCGGTAGGGGACTAATAAGAACAGAAAACTGTTAAGTGCTGTTGATGTAACCTACTTGTTACAGTTGATAGGGATGTTGTTTCTTCGGGTATTTGTGAAGTTAAAACTGTTGTTGTCGTCTGCAGTGTTGTTGTCGTCACTGAAAACAAAACGTAATGTTTTCTCATTGAATAACAAAGAAGGGGAATCTACCAGAGTTCACAGATTTGCAGTACCTTCATCACATCCGATAACATCAAACCGCAGACTACAGAAGTTGTTACACTGTGTGGGATATAACCTAAGGTAGGTGGCGCTGATAGTTGACGGAAGGGTGTTTTTAACAGTTGTGGAATAATCGTAATTGGCAGGGAATTCCTGCAAAATATCACACAATTTCGAATTCAAGTTTGTGTTAGAGTCTTCATCATACCCACACTTTCTAAAGAAAATTCTGTATATAAATGCATGGTCTGTCTATGTTCTCACTCAAACTACATTTATAAATCAATTACCAACGTGTGTATTTTTTTTTCAAAATAATAAAGCTAAATTGCATACATATGGATTTTAAAGTTTTACTCATAGGCGCTTGGGTCAAGGATACTGTATATTTTCTATATAATGTATTGTCGAGGAAATTCGAACTATACTCGTAACAATTTTTTTTCAGTGTGCAGTGTTAATTTTTAGCTTTTTGTAAACCTTTCTGCTTCATATGCACTAGAATGTCACGGAAATTCGATTTTACGCACGCTTTAAAAATGACATATCCCACTGTATACTAAAAAGAAACAATAGTGTAGCGGCTTAGATCAAAATTTCAGCAAAAAAGTTCACTTGTGGATACAAGCATGAAATTTGGTACAAATGTCTACCTGATACTACTAAATCTAAAAACATCGTTGGCCACCGCGATTTCCGCAATTTTCAAGATGGCCGCCACTAAAACAAAATGGCGACATTTTCAGGCAGTTTGGCCTATCATACATTCTCTTACAACCAAATTAATTATACTTTGGCCGCTTAAATATATCTAAAAAATTTTAAAAAGACTATAAAAATCATATTCTAGCTTAAATGCTATAAATATAACTTAAGACAAAATGATTTTCTTATAACACAAAATATCGTTCCCTATTGTAGATATTAACGACATTATCACAGTAGCAAGAAGCCATTTAAAAAAAAAAACTTGTAAAAGGTATTTTACAAAAAGCCTTGCAGGCGTTCCCTCACTATCTTGGACCTGAATACCAAGTAAAGTTTTGTATTTGAAAGCCCTCAATAAGTAAACTAATTCCTCTAGAAACATAAAATATCATGGAGTGAAACTCTCATCCAACGCACGTAAAATCTCAATAAATGAAATAATCCTTTGGAGAACATAAAATAGCATTGATTGAAATATTCTTTTAAACAACCTTTAATTTCAATGTGTGAAATAATCCTTTAAGGAACGTTAAAAAAAGGAAATGAATCAATGTTGTATCTATGACATAAAACAACAGGTAACCATTCGCTAACCAAAATGAAGAATGCCATGGACTGTGAAGTCAGCATCATCCTTTTAAAAATTAAAACAAACGCCTGTGATGGCTAAAAAAGCTGCTTGTAACCAACAGATATGACTGGAAATTTATGGTGAAGATAGATATGTTGTCAATTTGTTCAATGGATTCCATATTGAAATAGCAGCTTAAAAACTGCTTGGTGATTTGTTGAAAGGAAGCGGCTGGATGACTGCATTGATTCAAGCAGAAGTTGCATATTCTGGAACTGCTGAGTCTTTCCTAGCATTTTTTAAATCTTGCTAAAAGAAGACAAGATAGTCAAATTACTACCTGCTGTCTGTATGACTTAATAAAAAGGCAGACCAAAATGCAAAGGAACTCAATAATTGTGATGAAATTGAAATAGATTCAAAACAAAAAAAATCACAATTTGAATTTTTGTAAAGAATTCTGTTGGAACTCGTTGTCTTTACTTTGTAAGGTCTTGCAGAGAATCAGATGTTAGGCTTTACAAAGAATGCTAGTAATTGCCGTTGGTCACATCAAATATGTTCGATGGGTACCATTTCACCTTTGGGTGCAATGTCAAAACACCAGGACATATGTTTAGTGATAAATTAAAAAAGGAATACTTAGAACTAAGGAAAAATAATAGTTTTCAAATTTTGCCATTGGTCAAGCCCATGAACAGAACAATGCAATTTGTAAAAAGTGATGGTTACATGTAACAGAAGATCAGGGGATGGTTAGCGGAAGATCCAGCTGCATTAAAGGTGGTTGCTGGTCCAGAAATCAGCAAACTTACTAAAGAGTTCAAATGAATATGTTGAAATGTTCAAGAGAAGAAGAAAAACATCACGAAGAAAGTCATGCTGCTCAAGAAAGTTTTTTCACAAGTAAATCGGGCTATGCCTACATGTATAATTTTGGAAATGGAAAATCCGTTTGAGTTGCTTGATCTTTATAGTTGTTGTCGAAACTGAAAGTGCAGGATATTTATAGTTGTTGTCGAAACTTATGAAACTGCAGGATGAAATATTAAAAAAGGGATACATTGGGAAAGAACAATATTTGGTATTCCTTTTAAGAGTATCTGAAGGTGATAATCAAGGTTTTCTGAACTTGTTCAGAAGGATAATTTTCGCATATTCAGTCTAAAACTAAATTCTGATTCTTCAAAGTCAAAGTTGGCAAATTTTGAAGATGACTATAGCTGTTTTTCTGTTATTTATTTTCTGTCATAGTAGGCAATGCGATGTACAAAAACTTTCTGATCATGAAAACCAGGACACCTCTCTCTCTCTTTCACAAAATGTTTTTTTTAATAATGTTTTAAATTTCAATTGATGCCTATTTTGGAAGCAGGAAAAGAGTTGCCAAATAATGTACTGACAGAAGATTGTCAGTTATATCATTGAAACAGCTTTTGTAATTGACAGTGCATCATTAGTCAATTCTAAACAACCGGAAATTTTAACAAATATGCCAATGTCATTAATTATCCTTTTGCACATTAATTCTCTTGTAAAAGGTAAATTGAGGGTAAACACTATCTTCCGTGTTCAGAAAAAGGATAGTTTTAAGGCAGAAACTGAAAAGAAATGTGGCATGGGTCTAGACGAAAAGTAAATAGGAACACTAAACCACCAAAGTCATGGAACACTTTCTGTCAGTGTGACAAGAACAAAACTGAATTGGTCGGGGGGGGGGGTGTTAGCAGGCAGAATTATATTCACCTTTACAGAGGCAAATATCATTGTAGTAAAAAGGGGAAAACTGTCAATATAAGCAAATCTATAGATACCAACTTTATACCGCTTTGCTAACATGAAGAAGCTGACAGCCGTATGTTCCTTCACGCAAAAAATGCATCACTGGGTGGTAGCAGCACAGATCAATCTACATGGTTAGTTCGGATACGGACGTTGTTGTGTAACTCTTTTGATGATTTAAATGTGGATCAGTAATGAATGACATTTTGAAAGGGCAAGGATTTGAGATGAATAACAATTTATGATGTAATTAGATCACTGCATGGAACCATATCAAATGCATTACCATTCTTTCATGCATTCACGGGTAGTGATACAGTGTCGGCCTTTGTTTGGAAGGTAAAAAGACAGCATGACAGGTCATGAATATATTTGAGAACGCCAAAGAAATATTCAGATCCAATTTTGAAGCACCCCTTGTCATACTTTTAATCAATGCACTGGAAGAATTTGTTGTCATCATGTACAATCAGCAATGCGAATAGCATTAATGACGCTTGCCTTGATCCCCTCCCTATATAAAGAGCTGCTCTTCTAAAGCAGATTTGGAGACCTGGATTGCATGATGGTCAATCAACGGGTCAGTCACTACAAGTATGCAAGTGGCTAACTTTACCCTCACCTTCCAGTTAGGGTTGAGTAAAAAAAACCGTGGATTTTGTGCCCAACAATACATTCTTGCCAGCAATTGTGCATCATGTCAAGAACTGTTAAAATGTTGGTGTAATATAACTTGAACTGCTTCAGGTCAGGGTTACCTTACATTGCTTTATGCAGCTATACACGTTTCAGAAGATTAATTCAGTCATGTCTTAAAACAGCTTTTGTTTGTATTTAAGCGCATGCGCAGTGAATGTATATATAAAATGGAGCTCAAATTATATCATGCACCAAGTTCCCTTGTATTATTTTAGAAGAAATAAAAGTATTACCCAGGAAGGATGAAAATATTAGGAAAAATTATGAAAAAAGGCGCCATTTTGAAATAAGTGGCGGCCATCTTGAAAATGGACGAAACTTGAGTGGCCAACGATTTTTCTTATTTCATTAATAGTCAAAGAACCTTCTTGCAAAATTTGGTGCTTGTATCCGCAAGTGAAATATTTTCCCCACTATCCGCTCCGCTATACAAGGCTTGCAACTTCATTTGCCCCTTTCCGTGCCCCAGACTCGATTTTTTTCCTTTTAAAAGTTATATGCGCCGCTTACCAGCTGAATTACGAATCCCCATCTCTGCAAATAATTCTTATACAATGATAAAAATCCTCAGGTATAAACTTTTCATCCATCTTATATTTTTAAATAATTATTTCCGGCATTTTCGCTCGTTTAATTCTTGTAATCACGGAAGTCCCCGGAATTACAACGTCCAAAACCCAAAACGGTTGTACAGAAAATTATTTGACAGCTATAAAAATCGCAGGGATCAGAGTATTTGCCGATTTAAACTGTCTAAAACTTCTTACCTAATCACTGACAAGATGATATTATTAACCGGTATCATTTAAATATCATTATTTAAGTCATAATGATACAATAATACAATATGCATAAAAAATGCATGATGCGTAGATTCACATGAAATTATTTCATGATCCTGGCCCTCTGGGGGCAAGGGTAGAACCACAAATCGCATAACAACTTTTCTTGTGAATAAGTGAATAAAAGGAGGATCAGGGGGAGTCAGATGTGTGCTGTGGCCCACGGACCTGAGTTTAAATTATACTCTTCTGACAAATGGGAACTTTATAATGAGAATAAAGTTATATCTTTTATTCTTTTAGTTGTGTGTTGGACAGATTAGAAATGGTGCATATATTTTGTTACTAACAAAGTTACTGTCATTTTGATAAGTAAATTTATTAATCAATCGATAAACCAGAATATGAATCCAGCTATGAATCTTTTGACACTAGTATGAGAGATTGTCACAAAAATAGAAAGTAAATGTCAAACATTTTCCACAGTGGCTTCTAATTCTAATCAAATATTTGCTGTCTCATCAGTAGATCCAAACTAGACAAATGGTATTTTGAAAAATTGATTTTTTTAAACTGAATTATATATAGCGGGACTAGACAGTCGAGATTCGTTCGACTGTTTTGTTGTTTAGCACGATGAACTAGATAATTTCAAATAACTTCATATTTTTCCCCTCGCAACGGAGTTGGAGGGAATCTAGTAAAGCGCCGAAGTAAATGCCGAAGTCTGTCTTGATTTAAAAACATGCTCATTTGTTTTCCCTTGTCTGGGATATTGAATTTGGCGCTCCACAGTTCCAGCTGGTTGGCGCCCTCAGAACAGTGCACCTTTTCAGACAGAAATTCACTTGTTATCCTCTCGCAACAGAGCTGAAGTGGATACAGTAATCGTGTGTGTGAGTGTGTATTTGGGATACAGTAATCGTGTGTATGGGTGTGTATTTGGGTTGAAGGGGATAAAGTAATCGTGTGTGTGGTGTGTATTTCGGTGTGGGGGTGTGTATGGGTGTGTATTTGGGTTGTGTATGGATGTTTATCCCGCTTCAGACAAATTTGTCGATTACTGATTGGATAGAAGCTAATCACATGACGCCCTGAAATTTTCCGTATTACGTCTCCGTTTTCATATTACGTCTCCGTCGAGGCGTAATATGAAAATCGGGCACGCGATTCCGTTCGAAGCGTTGTTATTGTAAATAAAAATGGCGGCTAAGAAACGGTTTACGTAGGTAGTTTAGTTAAATTTCTTGTTACCTTAACGATATTTTATGTTGATTGTTATTGGATTAAAACTAATAGTTTCATAATATGCAAATATTTTTTATATTGAAAAAGGTCTTCAGCGGGATAAATTCGTAACACAGTCAGTTAGTGACCTAATACGGATTCATACAGGGTGTGAAATGGAAATCCGTATTGGGACTCGGCTTCGCCTCGCCCAATACGGATTTCCATTTCACACCCTGTATGAATCCGTATTAGGTCACTAACTGACTGTGTAACTAATAGTATTTGGGTTGTGTGTGGATGTGTATTTGGGTTGTGTATGGATGTTTGGTTTGTGTATGGGTGTGTATTTGGGTTGTGTATGAATGTGTATTTGGGTTGTGTGTGGTTGTGTATTTGAGTTGTGTATGGGTGTGTATTTGGGTTTTGTATTGGTGTGTATTTTGATTGTGTATGGGTGTGTATTTGGGTTGTGTGGGTGTGTATTTGGGTTGTGTGAGGGTGTGTTTTGGGTTGTGTATGGATGTGTATTTGGGTTGTGTATGGGTGTGCATTTGGGTTGTGTATAGGTGTGTATTTGGGTTGTGTATGGGTGTGTATTTGGGTTGTGTATGGGTGTGTATTTGGGTTTGTATGGGTGTGTATTTGGGTTGTGTATGGGTGTGTACATGTATTTGGGTTGTGTGTGGGTGTGTATTTGGGTTGTGTTGGTGTGTTTTGGGTTGTGTATGGGTGTGTTTTGGGTTGTGTACGGATGTGTATTTGGGTTTTGTATGGGTGTGAATTTGGGTTGTGTATGGGTGTGTACATGTATTTGGGTTGTGTGTGGGTGTGTATTTGGGTTGTGTATGGGTGTGTATTTGGGTTGTGTATGGGTGTGTATTTGGGTTGTGTATGGGTGTGTATTTGGGTTGTGCCCTGTGCAAAACGGAAGTAAAGTTATTTGCATCGCACATCCGGGTTCGACGTCGAGTACGCTGCCCCTGATTTACAGATACACGCACACCTACAAGTATGCTCTATGCGAGTCGATGCTCTGCCTTGCGAGTGCTCTTGTTTCCATTAACATTTTATTTTTGGGGGGAGGGGAGGGGAATGGGTTTCCTTTTGTTGTAAGTTAGCTATGATTAGCCACTTTAAATTTAGGATCTGTTGATTGAAGTCTGTTTGGCAAGAATCGCCGTAACATGCCGCATATTTAATTGCTTGCATTATATGAGCGTATAAAACACGGTATTTGACACCGTTTGAAAAGGAACTTACGTTATCAGTACCGTATTGTACTGTCGCCCACGATGATGTCTCGTCTCTGTACAATACTTTGTATTTTGTCACCCATTCCTGATAGATAATGTCTCCTAGTCCCTGAGTCAGCACTTTTTTAATCCTAACTCTTCTACCAAAGCTGACCTGTAGTGTATGTAGAGATCAAATGGTTATCATGGGGCATTATTATCCGGTATATAATAGATGAGTGGCAGGTACATGCCCTGCTCCTCGATATTTATGATTCATTAAAAGAGGATCTATTTAAAGAGACTATACCTGTATCCAGGGATGATCTTCAAGGTGATGAGGACTCCAGCCAAACGGTTGATTGAGCCTCGCTTGGGAAGCAGCGACTCTGCTGTCATCCTGGTATACGCTAGAGGTGGTTAGGCTGTCGTCTGCGACAGTTTCTACCAAATACGTACTGCAAGCATAGGCTTCAAGAGCAAAAGACAATTATAAATTGAAAAATGTTTGTTTAATCAATAATTAATTTAAACAAGCTCTATCAAGCCATAGGATAAACTTCAAAATTCAAAATAATTCAAATTCGAATTTCAAGTAGATCCGTGAGAAGCAATTCTCAGTTTTGGGGATATAACCATACATATTCAGTTTTCAACTACCAAAAACGTTTTGACAAACAAACAAAAAAAGTTTTAATTGAGGGTGCACAAGCATATAGTATCTATGTTTCCTATAGTAACCTATGTAATCTATACATGTATATCGGCACACTTATCCGGGGGGGGGGGGTCCTACGGTCATGGTATATGACAGGCATGTAGCATGGTTTTTGAAAGTGGGGGGCCAGCCAGAGAAAATTTTTTTTGACTTATCTGAAGAAGTCGACAAGTAAAAAAAAAAGGAAAATGGCAAAACTCGAAAATCCTATTTCGTGGGGGGGGGGGATTCAAACTCGCGGCGTACCTCCCGATCACTGAGCGAGCGATCTACCGTCTGAGCTACGGTTTCGGGGGGGGGGGGGGGGGCAACGTCGAGGCCAACTTTTTTCAATGCCAACTTCTCTCAGTTTCAATTTTTTACTACATTAATTATTTCCCTGATATCAACTTCCTGTTGTATAAAGTGAGGGGGCCAAGCAGCCTTTCAATGAACATTTAAAATAGTAAAAGTAATGTTGGAAAAAAAGTGGGGGGCCAGCCCCCCCCCCTCCCCCCCCGTTGCTACGTGCCTGCATGACCATATTTGTTACTGATCACAAATCAACAGTAAACCAGAAAATCGTTCGCATTGAAATATTTCTTCCTTTTAACATGTTTAAATTATCTTACTTTTCCTAAGTAGAAATAATCCAAATCCCATCACGAGAATCAAAGAAAATGTAACAAAACTCCCCATGTCCATTGCCTTCAACGTTTCCACAACAATGAAATTTGATTTTAAATAAATGGGTATTATTTGCAGGTTGTGTTTCAATGTGAATCAAATCACGCGTCATTTCCTGATGCTTAAAAAAATCTATATATATTTTTTTTGTTTTATTAACATTGCTAAATATATATCACAGACACTTGTTTCTGTAATAATTTTTCAACCCATAGTATAATAATAACACTAGGTATCCAATTCCGAATTACAGGGTGTACCCCCCTCTTCAGAATCTCACTCATTTACAATGTCAGAGTAATACCTCGGGTAAACTGTTTATTACCACTGTCTTCTACGAAACTTTATTTACAAAATATACATGATATATTTGTACAATTTTAATCTCCGCAAACAGCGTAAACTCACCTCATGAAATGGTATGAACTGATACCGAGCAGAGACTATTTTGATTGGCTAAATTAAAAGGGAAAAGAACTTAGAAGTTAGATCATTATTAAAAGGAACAAGCAAATTCAAAGTATTGTGGTCCGCCGCTTTCGGTGTCTTTGTAAGTGAGATGTTATTTTTATGACATATTGTGTCCAGTAAAAACGCCAGATCATATGTCATTTAAAGGGACATGGACACAGTTTCAATTGAAATTTTTAAACCAATTTTATTGCTTAGAATTCCTAACTAAGGAATCATCTAATGATCAGCAAAAATTTGAACATCCTTTATTGATTAACAAACGAGATACAGAACTTTAAGTTTTTTAGAATGTAAACAAGGCTCGTGCCTTGTTTTTGTTTACATAGAGAAAATATCATATTCATAACGAAATGAAATTCAACAAATTACTAGAAACTGTCTAATTGTATTTAGAATTTACTTCTTTATTGAACTTATAATACCCGCACTTTCTAAAGAAAGTTCGGGTATATTGTTGTTACTCATGTCCGTCCGTCCGTCCGTCCGTCTGTCACACTTTTCTTCCCTGAACTCCTCCTACATTTTTCACAGTAGCATAATCATCTTTTGGGAGATGGTTGGGGGTGTCATGTAGATGTGTAGTAAGGTTTCGGAATTTTGATTTTGCCCCAGGGGATCAAATGGGGGTCGAAAAATGACGTTTTTTATGCAAAAAGCCCCATCTTCCCTGAACTCCTTCTAAATTTTACTCAGCAGCCTAATCATCTTTTGAGAGATGGTTGGTGGTGTCATGTAGATGTGCAGTAAGGTTTCGGAATTTTGATTTTGTCCCGGGGGGGTCAAATGGGGTTCGAAAAATGACGTTTTTTATGCTAAAAGCCCCTTTTTCCCTGAACTCCTTCTACAGTTTACTCAGCAGCCTAATCATCTTTTGAAAGATGGTTGGTGGTGTCATGTAGATGTGCAGTAAGGTTTCGGAATTTTGATTTTGCCCCTGGGGGTCAAATGGGGTTCGAAAAATGACGTTTTTTATGCTAAAAGCCCCTTCTTCCCTGAACTCCTTCTACATTTTACTCAGCAGCCTAATCATCTTTTGGGAGATGGTTGGTGGTGTCATGTGGATGTGCAGTAAGGTTTCGGAATTTTGATTTTACCCCTGGGGATCAAATGGGTGTCGAAAAATGACATTTTTTATGCTAAAAGCCCCTTCTTCCCTGAACTCCTTCAACATTTTACTCAGCAGCCTAATCATCTTTTGGGAGATGGTTGGTGGTGTCATGTAGATGTGCAGTAAGGTCTCGGTATTTTCATTTTGCCCCGGGGGGTCAAATCAGTAGCCTCATCATCTTTTAGGAGAGTTAATTAAATATTTTGAAAATTAGGTAAAACATCAACATCATAGGGTAAAAAATCATAGCATCCTGGGAAACATCTTCAATTCTTATGAGTAATGTACATGTCAAATGTGAAAGTCATATCTCTCCTCAATCAAAAGTTATAAGCAAATGCAACATTTTTGAAAAGTAGGTTAAGCTTCAGTCAAGGTCACCGAGTCATGATTTATTTAGAAAGGTCTTATCATAGGTAATAATATACATGCATGTATAATATGAATCTACCAAAATGATAAATTTAAAGCAATGTAATTTTTTTGCAAGTAGGTCAAACTTCAATTGTCATGGGTAAAAAAAATCATGCCATTGTCACAGGTAAATACTAATACGTGGTATGTTTAATACAAATGCCTTGTCTCTTCACATTTAATAGATATGACCGTGATGACCAAGGTTAAATTGACAGACTGACATACAGATGTACATATTTCTATGTGAATTGGTTAAAATTGGCCCAGTGGTTGTAGAGAAGTTAAAAATGTAAAAACTTTCCAGACAAACAGATGGACGACAGACGTAATGTGATAAGGAAACCAGAAAAGCTCAAATGAGCTAAAAATGTAGGATTCACAAGTATTTTAAAGGATTACTATGGTTACAGTATTTGAAAAGTTTTTTTTTCATGCAATTTTTGGAGAAGCTGAAAGTGTATGACATATGTATCCATTATTGAAAAAAAAACTGAACATTTCAGAGAACAGTATGATTGAAAATAATTAATCAAGGTGTTTTAAGTAGCAAAATAAAGGTAGTAAACTTTTATAGCTAAATCAATCGCAGAACTTAGTCAATTTTAAGATGCACAACCTTTTCAAATCTTATAATTATTGTTTTAAAATATTTATATTGTAATGACCTGGGGTAGAATTTAATTAATTAGTTTATTTTTTTATGATTTAATTGTGTCAACATTTATTGGGAAAATTATCTGGGTTGATTTTATTATGCATTAATGACACTAGTACATTTCAGTCCTTTGATTATATACTCAACGTGGTGTTGTCTATTTTTAGCACATTTGACATACTTGTTGTTTGGATTTATACAGGAAATCCTATATTTTATGAATTCATGTGCATACCTTTAGAATCTTTGCATGTTACTGTATTTTACTTGATTATTTATGAGTCAAATAAGCGCTTGACATAGCCATAATTGCACACGATTGTTGGAGTCATGGAAGTTGTTTACATCCCTCCGACATCTTATTTGTATTAGCCAGAGTTTCGTATTTGAGCAAGTTGTATATTGTTATGCAATTCGATGTTATATTTGCTTGTGAATATCCACAAAATTAATGTTTGAATATGTTTACTAAGTTTTATCAATGGATTTTACTTTAAACGGGATTTAATAGTAGTTACACATTTTTACTATGACAGGGCTATTTGAATATCGTCTGCTATACGATTGCAGTTTTCTATCATGAAATACCTGTTTAATTCACATGGATTGTTTACTTACTATAGACACATCTTTAGTAATCCATATTTATTGGTTATTTTGTCAGTTCACATTTTAA